TTGAGCTGGGATTGGGGACTCTGAGCTGGGATCAGGGACTCTGAGCTGGGACTGGGGACTCTGAGCTGGGATTGGGGACTCTGAGCTGGGATTGGGGACTCTGAGCTGGGATCGGGGACCCTGAGCTGGGATCAGGGCCCTGAGCTGGGACTGGGGACTCTGAGCTGGGATTGGGGACTCTGAGCTGGGATTGGGGACCCTGAGCTGGGATTGGGGACATTGAGCTGGGATTGGGGACCTGAGCTGGGATTGGGGACTCTGAGCTGGGATTGGGGACTCTGAGCTGGGATTGGGGACTCTGAGCTGGGATTGGGGACTCTGAGCTGGGATCGGGACTCTGAGCTGGGATTTGGGACTCAAACTTGGGATTAGTTTGAGTCCCAGAACTAGAGACACAAACCCAGGATAAAGGACACAAACCCAGAGCTAGAGACACAAACCCAGGATAAAGGACACAAACCCAGAGCTAGAGACACTAATCCAGGATTAGGGACTCAAACCCAGGATTAGAGACTCAAACCCAGGATTAGGGACTCAAACCCAGGATTACAGACTCAAACCCAGGATTAGGGACACCAACCCAGGATTAGGGACACAAAGCCAGGCTCTGGCTGCTCTGCTCAGCCTCTGACTGCTGGCACCTCCACAGCCCCACCTGGACAGGTTTTCTGATCCTACAGGGACTAACAACACTCCCAGAGCTTTCAATTTTCCTTTAGAAAGGGAAAATTATGGCAAAGACCTTTTCAAACCTCGTTTTCAATCCCCTCCTGATTTAATGAGGGGATTCCCTGTCCCTCTCCATGTCCACCCATCCTGCAGGCCCGTGCAGAAACGATGCCAGAGCCACCTCCAGGTTTATTTCAGGTGCCTGTTCCCAATTCCAGGGGAAATCCCAGAGGCACAGGCCCAGCCTGGAGGCAGCAGCCCTGAGGAGAGCAGGGGAAGCAGAGGCTTGGGGCTCTTACATCCATGATCATCTTGCAGTTCTTGCAGGGCCCGATCTGGCTGAAGAGCTGCAGGATCAGAGCCTCGGTCACGTCCCTGGAGAGGTTCCCCACGTACCTGAGGGACAAACACAGGCAGGGACACGGATGTTGGACATGCTGGAGCTTGGAGAGGGGTTTGGGACCAGGGAGGAAGTGATGGGGAAAGCTGGGAGTGATGGGATATGGGGATGTGTCCATGTCCCCCCTGGACCCCTGGGAATGTCCCCAGCCAGGCTGGACAGGGCTGGGAGCCCCCTGGGACAGTGGAGGTGTCCCTGCCATGGCAGGGGTGGCACTGGGTGGGCTTTGAGTCCCTTCCCACCCAAACCAATCCAGGATTCCACGGCTCCATGAACTTCACCTTCCCTACACTGAATTCCCAGCACAGAAATTCCAGTTCCCATATTCCTACTATGATTTCCCAGTTCCCATATCCCTACACTGAATTCCCAGTACAGAAATTCCAATTCCCATATCCCTACATTGATTTCCCAGTACAGAAATTCCAGTTCCCATATCCCTACATTGATTTCCCAGTTCCCATATCCCTACACTGAATTCCCAGTACAGAAACTCCAGTTCCCATATTCCTATTATGATTTCCCAGCACAGAATTCCAGTTCCCATATCCCTACATTGATTTCCCAGTTCCCATATCCCTACACTGATTTCCCAGTACAGAATTCCAGTTCCCATATTCCTATTATGATTTCCCAGTACAGAATTCCAGTTCCCATATTCCTACACTGATTTCCCAGTAGAGAAACTCCAGTTCCCATATCCCTACACTGAATTCCCAGTACAGAATTCCAGTTCCCATATCCCTACATTGATTTCCCAGTTCCCATATTCCTACACTGAATTCCCAGTACAGAAATTCCAGTTCCCATATTCCTATTATGATTTCCCAGTACAGAATTCCAATTCCCATATCCCTACATTGATTTCCCAGTAGAGAAACTCCAGTTCCCATATCCCTACACTGAATTCCCAGTACAGAATTCCAATTCCCATATCCCTACTATGATTTCCCAGTAGAGAAACTCCAGTTCCCATATCCCTACATTGATTTCCCAGTACAGAATTCCAGTTCCCATATCCCTACACTGAATTCCTAGCACAGAATTCCAATTCCCATATCCCTACACTGAATTCCCAGCACAGAATTCCAATTCCCATATCCCTACATTGATTTCCCACTACAGAATTCCAGTTCCCATATCCCTACACTGAATTCCTAGCACAGAATTCCAATTCCCATATCCCTACACTGAATTCCCAGCACAGAATTCCAATTCCCATATCCCTACATTGATTTCCCAGTACAGAATTCCAGTTCCCATATCCCTACACTGATTTCCCAGCACAGAATTCCAGTTCCCATATTCCTATTATGATTTCTCAGTACAGAAATTCCAGTTCCCATATTCCTATTATGATTTCCCAGCACAGAATTCCAGTTCCCATATTCCTACTATGATTTCCCAGTACAGAAACTCCAGTTCCCATATTCCTATTATGATTTCTCAGTACAGAAGTTCCAACTCCCATATCCCTACCCCACCACCCCTGCCCCAGCAGCTCAGGCTTTTTCCTGAGATGTTTGCCCACATTTTCCACAACATTTGGCCGCTTCCTCCCGAAGCCCTGAGGTTTTGGGATTGCCAGGTGTGCCTGGAATGCCCGAGTGCCAACGTGCTGGAGTGCAGGGATCAGCCTGCCCAGCACAGCCACAGCCCAAACCCCCACTCCCACCAGGGCCCAGGGGTGGCTGGTTTGTTGTTTTGTTGGTGTTGTTGTGCCCAAATCATGGGATTTTTATAAAAAGCCCAGTGAGAAACCTCAGCCCCCACGGTGCAGCCGCAGCTCCTGCTCAGGAACGCTCTGGGGGAGCCTCTGCCAGGGAATCCTGGCCAAATGCCAGCCCTGGAACCACCCTGGAGCACCTGCAGTGCCCCCAGAGGGGCACAGGGGCTGCCAGAAAGCAGCCAGCAGCAAATCCAAGCTGTTTGTGATCCAAGCTTTGGTTATGGGGGAAGGAGACAGAGTTTTGTCATCCAGGCTCATCCAGGAGCTCTGTGCTCATCACTTGGACAAGTGTTTGAGGCAGGATGGGGTTTAAAATCTCCAAACAGATCCTTACAGGCTTTGTCTGGCTCTGAGTGAGCCATTCCTGCACTTCTGACAAGTTTCCTCAGAATGGTGAAACGAGGAGGGATTAGAGCACTTCATTAAGGCAATTAACAGCAGGACCCTCTCTCCCCACAAGCCCAGGTGAGAGTGGGATCAGAGAGGCTTCCAGTTCCCATATCCCTAATTGATTTCCCAGTACAGAATTCCAGTTCCCATATCCCTAATCGATTTCCCAGTACAGAATTCCAGTTCCCATATCCCTACACTGAACATCCAACCTGAGCTGCACTTGCTGCTCCTTCCAAACCCGACCTGTGACACCCCTGGTGACAATTCCCTGTGGGACCCCAGAAAGCCCCAGGGAGGGAGTCACAGAAATTCCAGCCTGGATTTGCAGAGCCCTGAGCTGTGCTTTAAGGCAGCACTCAGTGATCCTGCAGGTCTTTTGCAGGCTCAGTGATGCCCTGTGGGTGCCAGCAGCTGCACGTGCTCCAGGACAGGCACCTGCATTCCTTGGCACGCACCGAGCCTTGGGATGGGGGAAAACACCTCCCCAAATAAACACAGCACCAGGCTGTGTTTGCAGAGGCCAGGAATAGCTCCCAAAATGTGGGAAAACAGCGGGATTGGGGAAGCAGGGAGTGCTCAGGACAGCTGGGGTGAGGCACATCAGGGTTTTGTTGTCCTGGGGTCACTCAGGCCCTGGGGAGGGGCAGCACTCCCAGGGCACAGCAATCCCTCACCTTGCAATGATTCCCTCTTTCCCTCCCTCCTGTCCTTCCTGCTGCACTGCACAAAAAGGCTCCTAGGGCTGGGATGGCAAGAGTGGAGCCTGACTGCCCTGACCCAAACAAGGGAAAAGTACTCCAGGTACCACCTGCCTGGGAGAAGGAGGGAAACAGCCCAGGTGTGCACAACAATCAGGTTCTGCAGCTAAAACCTTTTGCTAAAATCCAACCTAAACCTCCCCTGACGTGGCTTCCTAATTCCTAATTCCTTCCATGGGAAGCAACAGCTTCAGAGAGTGCTTTGAACACTGGGGCAAGCTCGGGATTCATGGGCACTGCCTGCTCATTCCCACGGAGCTGCTGAGCAGGCCAGGGGGCTCCAGCCGTGTGCCAAGGCAGCCCCCACAGCAAAACCCAGCCCGTCACTCACCAAACCCACCCGGACCATACAGAGTGGCAGGATCCTCACCAGGAATGGTTTGCAGTGGAAGGGATTTGGATCATCCCAGTTCAGTGCCCTGCCACGGGCTGGGATGGACAGGGCAGGGGGGCACACACACCTTAGACCCCCTTTCCCTCCAGGTGTGTGTGGGTGTACCAGGGAGGGGACGACACCTTCCACGCTGCCTTCCCTCCAGATGTGACCTGGCATGGACTGCGGAGAGTGGCACAAACTTTACAAACTCCCTTTCTATCCAGCAGAAGGGGGGACACACCTTCCCGGCCACTTTTCCCTCCAGATGTGACCTGGCATGGACTGGCAAGGGGCACACACTTTCCAGACCCCTTTTCTCTCCAGATGTGAGTTGGGACGTACTGGGGAAGGGGACACGCAGCTTCCACACAGCCCTGTCCCTCCAGATGTGAGCTGGAGGCCCAGGGGAACGCCCGGAGCGGAGGGCAGGCCGGCGGTGCCCAGCACTGGGACCGGGGAAAGGGCAGCAATACCGCGGGAGCCGGGCTCCCCTCGCTGCCGGAGGGGGCCGGCTGCCCCTCAGTCCCGCAGCACTGCGGGCGGCCGAGGCTCCGCGGCGGAGCCCTGAGGGGCCCGTCCGTGAGGCGACCCCGGGCCGCCCCTCCCCGCGGAGCCGGGAACAATAGGCGGTCTCGCCCCCTCCCCACTCACAGGGTCTTGGGCATTTCATCCTCCATGGCGCCGCCGCCGCCCGCCCCGGCTCTTCCCGCCCGCCGGGGCGGCCCCGTGAGCCCTGGGCAGCCCGGGCAGCCCGAGCGGCGCCGGCCCCGCCGGCGGACGGTCCCGCGGCGGCTCCTCGCAAGATGGCGGCGGGCGGGCGGGCTGAAGGGCCGGGGGTGGGGGGAGAGCGGGGGCGGGAACGCGCGTGCGCGGGGAGAGCGCGGGAACGGCGCGGGGACGCGCGGCCGCTCCGCGCATGCGCGGCCGTGAGGGGAAAGCGAGAAAAAGCGGTGAAAAGTGATTTAAAATAAAGGCGTTAAAAATAAAGGGTGAGAAATAAAGGGATTTAAAAGGCGTTACAAATAAAAGGGTGAGAAATGAAAGGATTTAAAAGAAATGGCTTAAAAATAAAAGTGTTAAAAGGAAAGCGCTTAAAAGCGGGGTGGAAAGGTGTTGGTGGGCACAGGGAACGGGGGGCATCAGAGCAGGGAAATGGCAATACAGGTGTGAAAATAAAGGTGTTGAAAGAAATTAATTTAAAATTAAAGAAGTAAAAAGAAAATAATTAAAAGGGGTTAAAACCGCGGTGGAAAGGGATGTGCGGGTCAGGGACACGCGGGCACCACAAATGGGGGCAGCAGGTCTGGGAAATAAAAATAATGGGAGTTAAAGTAAAAGTTAAAGTAAAGGAGTTAAAAGTAAACGAGCTAAAGAAGTTAAAATAGAGGCGTTTTAAAATGATAGAGTTTAAAATTACAAGATTAAAAATGAAAGAATTGAAAGTAAAAGGGGGCACGTGAGCATCATGAATGTGGCGCCTTCTGCAGGGGCGGGAAAATGAAAATAAAGGAATTAAACTAAAGTAATTAAAAGTAAAGGAAGTAAAAGGAAAAACTTTGGAATTCAGGATAAAATAACTCACTGAAGCATAAAAGACAGATGCGCCGCCCGGGAATCGAACCCGGGTCGCAAGAATGGGAATCTTGCATGATACCACTACACCAGCGGCGCGGTTGATAAGCAGGCCCTCTCAGTGTTCTTGATGATTCTGCCGCCTGCAGCTGGCCTGAGCTGCACTCTCAGCCCGCCCATCGCCCTCTGCCCTTCCCCGCCGCCATGCCGGCCCGCCGCCGCTTCCTGACGCTGCTGCTCGCCGTGCTCTGCCCGCTCGCCCTCAGCCTCCGCCATGCGCCCTCCAAGATCGGTGCGAACGCAGACACAGCGGCCCATGCCCGTGGCCTCAGGGGAGCCGCTTGTCTCAGGGACGGGGACTCGGGGAGGGATCTCTGAGGGGAAAGCTCAGGAGGGGATCTCTTAAGCAGATCTGTCAAAGGCGGTGTCACGGCCTGGCCCTTCAAGGGATGAGAGCATCTGTGAGGAGCAGGGGGTGCCACTGGGATCCTTTGAGGGGATCCGTGAGGAAGGAGTGAGGAGAGGATCCTTTATGGGACTTTGAGGGGATCTGTCATGGGAGGCCACTGAGGGGACCTATGTGGGTCAGGGAGTATGGCGGAGTGTCCCGTGAGGGATCTGAAGTGGGAGGACCCATGAGGGATCTATGAGGGTCAGGGAGCTTGGGAGGGGGTCTGTGAGGAAGGTGCAATGGGGGGACCCCCTGAAGGTAAGGGGGGCCCGTGAGGAGATCTTTGAGGGGCAGGGGATATGAGAGGGGTTCCCTTGAGGGGATTGGGGTGGGGAGGCCATGAGGGGTCTGTGAGGGGGTTCCCTTGAGGGGATCTGTCCTGCAGGGGCCCATGAGGGGTCTGTGAGGGGGTTCCCTTGAGGGGATTGGGGTGGGGGGCCCATGAGGGGTCTGTGAGGGGGGTGTGTGAACTGGGCTCTCCTGGGGCTCTGAAGGTGACCGGGGCCCCCTTCTCGCAGCCGTGGTGGGCGGCGGGATCGGCGGCTCGGCCGCCGCCTATTTCCTGCGGCAGAAGTTCGGCCGCAGCGTGCAGCTGCACGTGCTGGAGAAGGCAGCGCTGGGCGGCCGGCTGGACACGCTGGACGTGGAGGGGGCCAGCTACGAGGCAGGAGGGTCTGTGATCCACCCCCTCAACCTGCACATGAAGCATTTTGTCAAGGAGCTTGGTGAGTATTAGCCCCCAACCCTGGCATCTCCCAGTCCCAAAACTGTGCCTCGATCTGGAAATTATCCCCACGAGGTGCTCTGGGTCCCAATCTGCTGGGGGACATCCCCTTGGTAGCTCCTTATCCATCCCCATAGCCCTCATTTCCTTCTCCAGTAGCCCCCATATCTTCCCCAACAGCCTGCCCTTCTTTTCCCAATACCCTCCCATACAGTTCCCTAGTGATCACCCTTCTCCAATATCCCTCCCCAAATAGCCAAATTTGCTTCCCGAATATCTCCCCATCACCTCCCCGATGCCCCCTGTGGTACCCCAGCCCCACTCCAGGCAAAGGAAACCCACATCCCAGTGGGAATGCTCTGACCTTCCCCACAGGTGACCCACATATGGCATCATAAAGGTCCAAAAATCACCTCCAATCACTCCCTGGCCCATGATCAAGGGTTAATTCCCCTTTCCAAATTTAGCACTCCAGTTGTCAATCACTCACCCTTATCAGCTTGAAGCCAGGTTATCTGAGGAACTTAAAACTTGAGGTGGAACAGCTCTACCTTTCCCTAAATTACATTTTTCTGTACTTTTCCCAAAGGCCTCTCGGTCGCCACACCCGAGGGCAGCCTTGCAGGCGTTTACAACGGGGAGGAATTTGTGTTTGAGGAGAGCAGCTGGTCCTTCATCAACCTCCTCAAGCTGCTGTGGCACTACGGCCTCAACCCCCTGCGCATGTCCATGTGGGTGGAGGACATCCTGGACAAGTTCATGAGGTGGGCTGGGGTCCTGAGGGTGAAAAAGTGGGAAAGGACCTTAAGGACACCTAATTCCATGGACACCTTCCTCTGTCCCTGGTGGCTCCGTCCAGCCTGGCCTTGGACACTTTCAGGGGTGGTGCAGCCACTCCACCCTCATAAAAATCCCCAATATGGAACCCGGGCCTGCCCTCTTGGGCCTCCAGGCCCTGCAGTCCCACAAAGCCACCCCGTGAGATCCCCGCAGCTGCCAGGGCTCAGTGACAGGGACAATTCCTGTGTGCACTGCCAGGATCTACCGGTACCAGATGCACGACTACGCCTTCAGCAGCAACGAGCGCCTGCTGCACGCCCTGGGCGGCGACGACTTCACGCGGCTGCTCAACCAGAGCATCGACGAGGCCATGCAGAAAGCAGGGTTCTCCCAGAAATTCATCAACCAGGTGGTGGGTCCGGCCATGAGGGTGAATTACGGCCAAGGGGTCGCCATCCCTGGCTTTGTAGGTGAGCGTTTGGAGGGAGCCTCTCATCCTGGATGTGGGAGAATGGATTGGAAGAGAACAGAGGTGGTGCTGTGGGCAGCCTTGCCCTTGCTGAGTTGCAGCTGTGTTCATTACCAAAGAATGGAAGCTGCCTTGCCCTGGATAGGTCACCACCCTGTCCAGTAAGGATGTGTGGTATAAAAGAGTGGGTTGGGCAGTGGTGAGGAAGAGGAAGGAGGAAGAGAGAAGGGGAAGAGAGGAGTCTGTTGCATGTTGCTGCCCATTTACAGATAAAAGATATGAAAGTTTACTGTAAAGGCTATGAAAGGGCTGATGCTGGCCACCATCTCTGGTATCAGTCATTTGAGCCCACTGTCAATGGGGAAAGGTTTGGAAGTTTTACTGAAGGATAATAAAGGGCTGGTGCTTGCAATGGGGAAAGTGATCTGGGTCCACCAACAGTTGGTGCCCTGTGGGAGGAGTGAAGACTGACAAAAGCTAACACTGACACCTGAGACTTGGGTTCCAAGCTCTGTGTCCCAAAGGGACGTTAATCCCCCCTGATTTTGCAGTTGGTTTTTCCAGCTTTTCCCTGCTGACAGAGGTGGTTTCCTTGCAGGTGCTGTGTCCCTGGCCGGGGTGCAGTCGGGCCTTTGGTCTGTGAAAGGGGGGAACAAACTCGTGTGCTCCGGCCTCATCTACTCCTCCAAGGCCAAGGTTATCCCTGCAACAGTCGTGTCCATAGAGCCAAAAACCAGACACAACCGTGACGGTGAGTGGGGCTGGAGCTGCCTCAGTGGGGAGGGGATGGTGACACTGGAGAACAACCTCAGGCCCTTGGAGGGTTTCAAAATGAACATTCCTGCCTGAGAGGCTGGGGAGGGGCTGGGATGGGATTCCCAGGGGAGCTGTGGCTGCCCCTGGATCCCTGGAGTGGCCAAGGCCAGGCTGGATGGGGCTTGGAGCAGCCTGGGACAGTGGAAGGTGTCCCTGCCATGGAACTGGATGGGCTTCAGGATCCCTTCCAGTCCAACCCATTCCATGAAATCGGGGCTCAAACCCAGCTGCACAAATTGATGAACCCAAATGTTGGTGCCATTTTGGGATGCAGTTGGGATTCCCTCCCAGCACAGGTCAGGATAACCGAGCTGTTCCCCACAGGGGACCCGGTGAAGCTCTACGAGGTCACCTACAACACGTCCTCGGGGCTCACAGGGGACACCTACGACATCGTGGTCATCGCGGCGCCGCTCGGCCGCAAGATGGCCAACATCACCTTCCGCAACTTCGACCCTCCCATCCCGGAATTCCCCAATCCCTACCACCAGACCGTCACCACCTTGGTGCACGGGCGCCTGAACACCTCCTTCTTTGGCTACCAGGACCCCCAGGATTTTCACCTTGGTGCCATTTTCACCACAGAAAACCCCAAACTGTTCATCAACAGCCTGGGTGTGGTGTCTCCTGTGGGGGACACGGGCACGGGCGGGCAGCTGCCGTTGCCCTCGGCCGTCTGGAAGGTGTTTTCCAACGAGGAGCTCAGCAAGGAGCAGCTCAGTTTGCTCTTCTCCTCCTACGACTCGGTGAAGGTGAAGCCGTGGCTGGCCTATCCCCAGTACAGCGCTCCCGAGAAGTTCCCTCCCATCGTCCTGCACGAGCAGCTCTACTACCTGAACGGGCTGGAGCGCGCCGCCAGCGCCATGGAGATGAGCGCCATCGCTGCCCGCAACGCCGCCCTGCTCGCCTTCCACCGCTGGCACGGCCACAGCGCCAGCGTCGACCAGGAGGACCTGCACGAGAGGCTCAAAACGGAGCTCTGACACTCCCCCAGGGCTTAATTAACACTAACGAACTCTGTGCTGCGCCCCTCCAAGGAGGTGTTCCCTAGGATCACGGGATTCCTACGGTTGGAAGGTCTTCAAGATCATAATGACCTTCAAGATGCCGTAATTAACTCTAATGAACTCCATACTTTGTCCCTCCTAGGAGGTGTTTCATGGGATCATGGGATCCTTAAGGTTGGAAGGTCTTTAAGACCATCAAGACCTTCAAAAACATCAAGACCTTCAAGATCTTCAAAATGCTGTTGTTAATTCTAATGAACTCCATACTTCACCCCTCCAAGGAGGTGTTTCATGGGATCATGGGATCCTTAAGGGTGGAAGACCATCAAGACCTTCAAGATCTTCAAGAACATCAAGATGATCAAGATGCTGTAATTAACTCTGAAGAACTTCATCCTTCACCCTTCCAAGAAGGTCTTACATAGGATCACGGAATCCTTAAGGTTGGAAGATTTTCAAGACCCTCAAGATCATCAAGACCTTCAGGATCTTCAAGATCATCAAGACCTTCAAGGTATGAACTCCATACTTTGCCCCTCCAAGGAGATGTTTCATGGGATTCTTAAAGTAAGAAAAGCATCAAGAACTTCAAGACCATCAAAACCTTCCAGGTCATCAAGACCCTCAAGATCAAGACCCTCAAGATCATCAAGACCTTCAGGATCTTCAAGATCATCAAGACCTTCAAGGTGCCGTAATTAAGACTAATGAACTCCATACTTCGCCCCTCCAAGGAGATGTTTCATGGGATTCTTAACGTAGGAAGAGCATCAAGAACTTCAAGACCATCAAAACCTTCCAGGTCATCGAGACCTTCAAGATCAAGACCCTCAAGGTCATCAAGACCATTGGCCCAACCGCGTTCACCATTGACAATCTCCTCAAGTGCCGCGTCCATGCGTTGTTTGGACACTTCCAAGGCTTGATGACTCTGCCACAACCCAGGCTGGACAACCCTTCCTTCCATGAGAGAATTCCTCCCAATATCTCATCTTGACGTCCCCTGGTGCCACCTGGAAGCTGTTTGGCCACCTCTGGAGGGAACAGGAGCAGTGAAGTGTTCCCAAGTAAGCTGGGACATTTTCCTCACGCAAATTCCTGAGTTTTCCTCAAACTCCTTGGTTTATCCCTGTCTGAGATTAGGGAATTCATTAAAAGTGCCATATTGACCCCAAAAGTGCCCTCCAGCTGGGAATATCGACTCCCTGGCTGTCCATCCCTCTGCCCCAACATTTCCTGCCAAAGAAAAATTCCTCAGGGAGAAGATGGGGTGCTGGGAGCTGCCAAAATGGGTGGGAAAGAGGAATAACCACCAACATCCGTCACTGTGTTCAGGTATGAAGGAGTTAATAAAGAATTTAACCATTTCCATGTTTTGAAGGAGAAAACCACCTAAAATAGCACAAATTCAAACACCCACTTCCATGAATGAAAAAGTTTTCCATGAGTTTTCCCAGGGTTGGGAGCAGAATTAACACCCAGCTGCCACAAATTGATGTGAGAAAGGCTTGAATTAGGTCAACCATTACAAAATTGATTTAATAACAAAACCAAAATAATTGTTCACTCCTGGGCAGCATCGTGGACAAGGGAATGGAAGCGGTGGGTGGGGATTTGGGGTTTTCCAGGGGTTTACACTCGTTCCAAAGCTTCCAGCATGATGATGCTGTTCCCTCGGATCACCTGCAAGGGGGAAGGTGAGAGCTGTTACCTCTGATCCAAGGGTTCCTTCCTTCCCCTTTGTTTCCCCAAAAATCCCTGAAAATTTGGCTGGGACTCCCCCACAAGAACGAAAACAGACGGATTCCCCAGCTGACACATCCCGTTCCTGTTCCTCACCAAACTTCCTGCTCATTCCACACAGCAGTGCTCCCAGCGCCCTCAGCACCCCGCTCCCAGTGCTCCCAGTGCCCTCAGCACCCTGCTCCCAATACTCCCAGTGCCCTCAGCACCCCACTCCCAGTGCTCCCAGTGCCCCCAGTGCTCCCAGTGCCCCCACCACCCCACTCCCAGTACTCCCAATACTCCCAGTGTCCTCATCACCCCACTCCCAGTACTCCCAGTGCCCCCAGTGGCCTCACCACCCCACTCCCAGTGCTCCCAGTGCCCCCAGTGCTCCCAGTGTCCCCAGTGCCCCCACCACCCCACTCCCAGTACTCCCAATACTCCCAGTGTCCTCATCACCCCACTCCCAGTGCTCCCAGTGCCCTCATCACCCTGCTCCCAGTACTCCCAGTGCTCCCAGTGCCCTCACCACCATGCCGATGTTGTTCTGCTGCCCGCCCGCCGCCATCTCCACGCACTCGTCGATCACCAGGTTCATGAAGGGGTCGAAGCCCCGCAGGATGCCCTGCACGTGCCGGCCGCCGTTCAGCTTCACTGCAGGAACCCAGCGGTTACAGGGGGACAGTTCCCAAAACGGGACGGTTTGCCCCCAAATCTACAGCTATGAATGAGTGGGACGTGCAGGGGGACGAATGGGAAGGATTGAGCACAACCCATAATGGGATAAGGGAAAAAGAGGGAATTTTCAACTCATGCTATAGTTAAATTAATGAATTATGGCTTAATGAATGAATTACAATTTTAATTAATGAGCTGTGAGGCATGAAATCAATCAGGGATGTTGCAGGGGGCAGACCCGAGCACCAGCCCCAGCAGCCGGGCCCCCCTCCCTGGACTCTGAGGGGTGGGCGGGGGTCCCCGGGCACCGTGAGGGGGATCGGGGCGGGCAGGGGTCCCGGGGCAGAGGATCGGGGTGGGATCAGTTCCAGAACTCACACGACAGCTTCTTGTCCATGAACCTGCAACGAGAAGGCAGCGGGTGAGCACCGGCGAGTGGGGACGGGCCAGGAGCCCCCCGCCATTATCCCCTCACGAACCGCCCCCCACCCTCCGCCGCCATTACGCTGGGACACCGGCCAGCGGCGGACCGCGCCGTTCTAGTGCCCGCTTCCCCCCACTGTGCCGGGCTCCCCTCGGTCCCCGGTGCGGCCCCGGCCCCTCCGGACGCACTTTTTCAGCTCGGGCGGGTGCGCTTTGCTCATGGCGCCCGCAGCCCCCGGCTCGTCTCTGCCGCGCGCTGCCGCGCTCTAACGTCAGCGCGCCGTGCGTCTCTCCGCGCCAGCCAATGGCGGCGCGCGGCGCGCTACCGCACGCACCCGAGTAGCGGCGCATCCGGGGAAGGCAGCGGAGCGCAAAGGGGGGGAAGCAGGAGGCGGTGAGGGGAGTGCGCGGCTACACGGGGAGGTACGGCGGCATGGCCCCCATCGTGCGGCGCGTGTGTGCGCGTGTTGTGTGTAAATCTGCCTGTGTACGTGTGTGTCCACATGTGCACACGTGTGTGTATGATATGTCCACATGTGCGCATGGTCTTGGGCATTTCATCTTCCATAGCGGCGTCGCCTCCCTCCCCGGCTGTTCCCGCCCGCTGGAGCTGCCCCGTGAGCCCTGGGCAGCCCGAGCGACGCCGGCTCCTCGCAAGATGGCGGCGGGCGGGCGGGCTGAGGGGCTGGGGGGGCGGGAAAATTAAAGCAATGGAGTTAAACTGAAGTAATTAAAAGTAAATGAAGTAAAAGAAAGGACATTGGAATTTAGCATAAAAGAACGGATTTTGTAATTCAGCATAACAGAATTCAGAGGGATACAAAAGGTCCGTGGGCCGCCGGGAATCGAACCCGGGTTCCCCTCCGCGGCCCGCCCATCGCCCTCTGCCCTTCCCCGCCGCCATGCCGGGCCGCCGCCGCCTCCTGACGCTGCTGCTGCTCGCCGTGCTCTGCCTGCCCGCTCTCAGCCTCCGCCATGAGCCCTCCAAGATCGGTGCGAACGCAGACACAGCGGGCCTTGGCCGCGGCCTCAGGGGAGGCAGTTGTCTCAGGGACGGGGACTCGGGGAGGGATCTGTGAGGGGAAAGCTCAGGAGGGGATCTCTTAAGCAGATCTGTCAAAGGCGGTGTCACGGCCTGGCCCTTCAAGGGATGAGGGGATCTGTGAGGAGCAGGAGGTGCCACTGGGATCACTTAGGGGGAACTGTGAGGATAAAGGAGAATTCTTTGAGGGGCATTGAAGGGATCTGTCATGGGAGGCCCTGAGGGGATCTGGGTTGGTCACGGAGTAATGGGGCATTGGGGCGTCCCTTGAGGGATCTGAAGTGGGGGAACAGTGAGGGATCTGTGGGGGTCAGGGGAGGGTGAGCAGAGGATCCTTCGAGGGGATCTGTGAGGAAGGGGCGATGGGGGACCCCTCAAGGTCTTTGAAGGTCAAGGGAGGCCTGTGCGGGGACCTTCAAGGGGCAGGGGATATGAGGGGGGTCTCTTGAAGGGATTGGGGTGGTGGGGCCATGAGGGGTGTGTGAGGGAACTCCCCAGAGGGGATCTGTGGTGCAGGGATCTGTGAGGGGGTTCCCTTGAGGGGATCTGTGGTGCAGGGGCCCGTGAGGGGTCTGTGAGGGGGGTGTGTGAACTGGGCTCTCCTGGGGCTCTGAAGGTGACCGGGCCCCCTTCTCGCAGCCGTGGTGGGCGGCGGGATCGGCGGCTCGGCCGCCGCCTATTTCCTGCGGCAGAAGTTCGGCCGCAGCGTGCAGCTGCACGTGCTGGAGAAGGCAGTGCTGGGCGGCCGGCTGGACACGCTGGATGTGGAGGGGGCCAGCTACGAGGCAGGGGGGTCTGTGATCCACCCCCTCAACCTGCACATGAAGCATTTTGTCCAGGAGCTGGGTGAGCATGGACACCCCACCTTGGTGATATCCAGTCCCAAAATTGTCCCTCAGACCCAAAATGATCCCCTTGGGGTGCTCTGGGTCCCAATCTGCTGGGGTGATATCCCCTTGGTAGCCCCTTATCCATGCCCAGTAGCCCTCATATACTTCCCCAGCAGTTCCACATATCCAATTGCCTGCCCTTCTTTTCCCAATATTCCCCCCATATCCTTCCAGAAAGTTCCAATCTTTTGCCCAATATTCCCCCCATATAGTTCCCTAGTAATCACCTTTGTCCTATATCTGTCACTCACAGGCCACTTTCCTTCCCAAAGAGCGCACCATCACCTCTCCCATGCCCCACTCCAGGCAAAGGAAACCCACATCCCAGTGGGAATGCTCTGATCCCTCCCCACAGGTGACCCACATATGGCATCATAAAGGTCCAAAAATCACCTCCAATCACTCCCTGGCCCATGATCAAGGGTTAATTCCCCTTTTCACTCTTTGGCACTCCAATCTTCAATCACTCACCCTTATCAGCACGAAGCCAGGTTATCTGAGGAAGTTAAAACTGAGGTGGAACAGCTCTACCTTTCCCTAAATTACATTTTTCTGTCCTTTTCCCAAAGGCCTTTCAGCCAACACACTCCAGGGCAGCCCCTCAGGCGTTTACAATGGGGAGGAATTTGTGTTTGAGGAGAGCAGCTGGTCCTTCATCAACCGCCCCAAGCTGCTGTGGCACTACGGCCTCAACCCCCTGCGCATGTCCATGTGGGTGGAGGACATCCTGGACAAGTTCATGAGGTGGGCTGGGGTCCTGAGGGTGAAGAAGTGGGAAAGGACCTTAAGGACACCTCATTCCATGGGACACCTTCCTCTGTCCCTGGTGGCTCCATCCAGCCTGGCCTTGGACACTTTCAGGGGTGGTGCAGCCACTCCACCCTCATAAAAATCCCCACTATGGAACCTGGACCTGCCCTCTTGGGCCTCCAGGCCCTGCAGTCCACAAAGCCACCCCGTGAGATCCCCGCAGCTGCCAGGGCTCAGTGACAGGGACAATTCCTGTGTGCACTGCCAGGATCTACCGGTACCAGATGCACGACTACGCCTTCAGCAGCAACGAGCGCCTGCTGCACGCCCTGGGCGGCGACGACTTCACGCGGCTGCTCAACCAGAGCATCGACGAGGCCATGCAGAAAGCAGGGTTCTCCCAGAAATTCATCAACCAGGTGGTGGGCCCGGTCATGAGGTACGCTTATGGCCAAGGAGTTGGCGTCAATGGCTTTGTAGGTGAGTGTTTGGAGGGAGCCTCCCATCCTGGTGTTGGGTTCCAGCTGCCTGGGCTCCGAGCTCTGTGTCCCAAAGGGACGTTAATCCCCCTGATTTTGCAGTTGGTTTTTCCAGTGTTTCCCTGCTGACAGAGGTGGTTTCCTTGCAGGTGCTCTCCTTGCGGGCTGGTTGCAGTCGGGCCTTTGGTCTGTGAAAGGGGGGAACAAACTCGTGTGCTCCGGCCTCATCTACTCCTCCAAGGCCGAGGTTATCCCTGCAACAGTCGTGTCCATAGAGCCAAAAACCAGACACAACCGTGGCGGTGAGTGGGGCTGGAGCTCTCTCAGTGGGGAGGGGATGGTGACACTGCAGAACAACCTTAGGCCCTTGGAGGGTTTCAAAATGAACATTCCTGCCCAAGAGGCTGGGGAGGGGCTGGGATGGGATTCCCAGGGGAGCTGTGGCTGCCCCTGGATCCCTGGAGTGGCCAAGGCCAGGCTGGATGGGGCTTGGAGCAGCCTGGGACAGTGGAAGGTGTCCCTGCCATGGAACTGGATGGGCTTCAGGATCCCTTCCAGTCCAACCCATTCCATGAAATCGGGGCTCAAACCCAGCTGCACAAACTGATGAACCCAAACATTGGTGCCATTTTGGGATGCCAGGGACAGTCAGGATTCCTTCCCAGCACAGGTCAGGATAACCAAGCTGTTCCCCACAGGGGACCCGGTGAAGCTCTACGAGGTCACCTACAACACGTCCTCGGGGCTCACAGGGGACACCTACGACGTCGTGGTCATCGCGGCGCCGCTCGGCCGCAAGATGGCCAACATCACCTTCCGCAACTTCGACCCTCCCATCCCGGAATTCCCCAATCCCTACCAGCAGATCATCACCACCTTGGTGCACGGGCGCCTGAACACCTCCTTCTTTGGCTACCAGGACCCCCAGGATTTTCACCTTGGTGCCATTTTCACCATGGACAACCCAAACTGTTCATCAACAGCCTGACCCTGGAGCCCCCTGTGGGGGGACACGGGCACGGGCGGGCAGCTGCCGTTGCCCTCGGCCGTCTGGAAGGTGTTTTCCAACGAGGAGCTCAGCAAGGAGCAGCTCAGTTTGCTCTTCTCCTCCTACGACTCGGTGAAGGTGAAGCCGTGGCTGGCCTATCCCCAGTACAGCGCTCCCGAGAAGTTCCCTCCCATCGTCCTGCACGAGCAGCTCTACTACCTGAACGGGCTGGAGCGCGCCGCCAGCGCCATGGAGATGAGCGCCATCGCTGCCCGCAACGCCGCCCTGCTCGCCTTCCACCGCTGGCACGGCCACAGCGCCAGCGTCGACCAGGAGACCTGCACGAGAGGCTCAAAACGGAGCTCTGACACTCCCCCAGGGATTAATTAACACTAACGAACTCTGTGCTGCGCCCCTCCAAGGAGGTGTTCCTTAGGATCATGGGATTCTTAAGATTGGAGAGTCTTTAAGATCATCTTGACCTTCAAGATCTTCAAGAACATCAAGACCTTCAAGCTGGTGTAATTAACGCTAATGAACTCTGTGCTGCACCCCTCCTAGGAGGTGTTTCCTAGGATCATGGGATCCTTATGATTGGGAGGTCTTCAAGAACATCATGACCTTCAAGATCTTCAAGAACATAAAGACCTTCAGGATGCCGTAATTAACACTAATGAACTCCATACTTTGCCCCTCCAAGGAGATGTTCCCTAGGATCACAGGATTCCTATGGTTGGAAGGTCTTCAAGATCATAATGACCTTCAGGATGCCGTAATTAACTCTAATGAACTCCATACTTTGCCCCTCCAAGGAGATGTTTGATAGGATCAGGGGATCCTTAAGTTGGACGAGTTTCAAGGACTCCAAAACCATCAAGATCTTCAGGATCTCCGAGATCATCAAAACTTTCAAGGCCATTAGGATCTTCAAGACCATCAAGAACATCAAGACCTTCAAGATCATCAGAAATTCCTCAGGGAGAAGATGGGGTGCTGGGAGCTGCCAAATGGGTGGGAAAGAGGATAAACCACCAATATCCACTGCTGTGTTGAAGTATGAAGCTAATAAAGAATTTAATAACCTGAGCGTTCTTTAAGGAGAAAACAACCAAAACCAGAACAAATTCAACACCCACTTCCATGAATGAAAAAGTTTTCCATGAGTTTTCCCAGGGTTGGGAAGCAGAATTAACACCCAGCTGCCAAAAATTGATGTGAGAAAGGCTTGAATTAGGTCAAATATTAAAAAACTGATTTAATAACAAAACCAAATAATTGTACACTCATGAGCAGAGTCTTGGACAAGGGAATGGAAGCGGTGGGTGGGGATTTGGGCTTTGCCAGGGGTTTACACTCGTTCCAAAGCTTCCAGCATGATGATGCTGTTCCTCGGATCACCCGGAAGGGGGAAGCTGAGAAACACCCAAAGCTCTGCGGAATTCCCATTCCTGTCCCTCACCAAACTTCCGCTCATTCCGCACACACAGTGCTCCCGGTGGCACTGACCACCCCGCTCCCAGTGCTCCCAGTGCCCTCAGCACCCCGCTCCCAGTGCTCCCAGTGCCCTCAGCACCCCACTCCCAGTGCCCCCAGTGTCCTCAGCACCCCGCTCCCAGTGCCCTCAGCACCCCGCTCCCAGTGGCACTGACCACCCCGCTCCCAGTGCTCCCAGTGCCCTCAGCACCCTGCCGATGTTGTTCTGTTGCCCGCCTGCCGCCATCTGCACGCACTCGTCGATGGCCGTGGGGCTCTCCGAGCACCGTGAGGGGATCGGGGCTGCGGTCCCGGGCACCGTGAGGGGATCGGGGCGGGCAGGGGTCCCGGGGCAGAGGATCGGGGTGGGATCAGTTCCAGAACTCACACGACAGCTTCTTGTCCATGAACCTGCAAGGAGAAGGCAGCGGGTGAGCAGCGGCGGGTGGGGACGGGCCAGGAGCCCCCCGCCATTATCCCCTCACGAACTGCCCCCCTCTCCGCCGCCATTACACCGGGACACTGGCCAGCGGCGGACCGCGCTGTTCCGGTGCCTGCTTCCCCGCACTGTGCCCGGCTCCCCTCGCCCCCCGGTGCGGCCCCGGCCCCTCCGGACGCACTTTTTCAGCTCGGGCGGGTGCGCTTTGCTCATGGCGCCCGCAGCCGCCGTGCGTGCAGCCAATGGCGGCCCACGGCGCGCTACCGCACTCACCCGAGTAGCGGCGCAGCCAGGGAAAGGCAGCGGGGGCGGGAAGGGAGGGAAGCAGGGAGCGGTGAGGGGGAGTGCGCGGCTACACGGGGAGGTACGGCGGCATGGGCCCCATCGTGTGCGGCGCCTCCGGGCTCGCGGTGTGCGCGTGTCCAGGTGTGCACACGTGTGAGTCTGTGTCCAGGTGTGCACACGTGTGTGAGTCTGTGCCCAGGTGTGCACACGTGTGAGTCTGTGCCCAGGTGTGCGCACATGTGTGTTTGAGTGTGTCCCTGTGTGTGTAAGTGTGCATGGCCCCGCGTCACTTCAGGCCAGCGTGGGACCACCTGCACACCCCACAGCTGTACCTGCACACACCTGCACACCCCACTGTGCCCAGGCATCACCTCCCAGTGCCTCCCATCACCTGCAGTGTGCTTTAAACCACCCACCCCATCACCCCCATCATCCCCAGTGCCCCCCATCATCCCCACAGTGCCCCCATCACCTGCAGTGTCCCCTCACCACCCACCCCATCACCCCCAGTGCCCCCAATTCCCCCTATTCTCCCCCATCACCCCCAGTTCCCCCTATTCTCCATCACCCCCAGTTCCCCCAGTTCCCCCCCATCACTCCCAGTTCCCCAGCAGCACCCGCGGTTGTTGGGAGGTGCCACCTTGGCCTTTAATGAGCGTGTGCTGCGGGGGTGTCCCCGGGGTGTCCCGGGGCTGTCCCCGCTGTCACTGCTGGATGTTGGCCAGCCCGTCCCGCATCTTCTTGGCCATGGCGGGCACGAGGCGCAGGTGCTGCTCCCCGCAGGTGGCCAGGCAGGCGTCCAGCTGGCCCCGCACGCGTGGCTCCGAGCCCCCCGAGTCCAGGGCGTCCTTGGCCTGATCCGAGCACTGCAGCGAGCAGCGGCTCAGCCGGTCCTGGGGATGGGCACGGTCACTGGGGGACAGCAGGGACTGGGGACACTGGGGGGGACTGGGGACACTGGGGGGGGACTGGGGGGCAGTGGCTCAGCCAGTCCTGGGGACAGCGCAATCAGTGGGGGGACAGTGGGGACACTGGAGGGTCAGTGGGGGTACTGGAAGTCAGGACGGGTCTGGAGGGGTAGCAGGGGACTGGGGGTCAGCAGGGGACTGGGGGCTGGGGGCACATTGGGGGGGGTCAGGGGATGGACTGGGGGTGGGGGCACAAGGGGTGGGTGTGTGTGGGGGGCACAGGGTGCATTTAGGGGGCACAGCAAATGCAGTGGGGGTGCAGGGATTGGGCGCTCATGTCCTACCCAGGGTCCCAGTGCTGTCCCCAGGGGTCCCGGTGCCCCCTCCTCACCTGGAAGTGCTCGAGCTCGGCGGTGACGATGGCCTGGGCGCGGGCCAGGGGCGCGTGGCAGCGCTCGATGCAGCGCTGCACCTCCTGCATGGAGGCTGCGGCGTCCTCGCAGCACCGCGCGCTGCAGCGGAACATGGCGCCCTGGGGACACGGCGTGAACGGGGGACAGGGGGTCACAGTGAGGGTTAACAGGGGGCACCCTGGGGAACATGGGGTACGCTGGGGACAAGGGGTTAATGGGGTGTGTTGGGGGGCATGGGTGTGGAAGGCACAGCGGGTGTTTAGGGGGCACAGGAGATGCACTTGGGGGACACAGGATGTATTTATGGGGCACAGGAGATGAACTGTGGGGGCATAGGGTGTGTTTATGGGGCACAGGGTGTGTTTAGGGGGCACAGGGTGTGTTTTGGGGCACGGGAGATGAACTGTGGGGACACAGGGTGTGTTTAGGGGGCACAGGGTGTGTTGGGGGGCACAGGGGATGTGTGAGGGGGTATAGGAGATGCACTGGGGAGGTACAGGGTGCATTTAGGGAGCACAAGGGATGCACTTGGGGGGCACAGAGGGTGTATGTGGGGGTCACAGTGAAGTGGGGGGATCTGAGGGTGTGTATGGGGGAGGTCACAATGAACTGGGGGGGGGCAGTGATTTTTGGGGGGGATCTCAGTGATTTGGGGAGGTCTCAGGGTGTGTATGGGGGCCGGTCCCGGCTCTGCTCGGGCACCCACGTGTGTGTGTGTGGGTGCCCCGAACCCCTCCTGCGTGTCCCTCCCGTGTCCCCCCGTGTCCCCCCGTGTCCCCCCGGTGTCCCCGTTACCTGCAATGCCGCGGATCTGCTCCCGCTCCAGCCCCTGCACCGCGCTCTCCACCGCGGCCTGCACCCGGCCCTGCGCCGCCTCCGCCATGGACCCGCTCTAAACCTTAAACCCGCCCTAAACCTGGCCTAAGACCGCCCTAAACCCGCCCCGAACTGCCCTAAACCCCCCGCAAATCCGCCCTAAACCCGCCCCGAACCCGGCCCTCCTCCGCCATGGGCCGGCTCCGCGGCCTAAGCCCGCCCTAAAACCTGCCCTAAACCCGCCCTAAAACCTGCCCTAAACCCGCCCTAAAACCTGCCCTGAACCTGCCCTAAAACCTGCCTTGAACCTGCCCTAAAACCCGGCCCAAACCCCGGCCCACACCTGCCCTAAAGCCCGCCCGAAACTGCGGGAATCGCCTCAAAATCTGTCCCAAACCCGCCGGAACCGCCTCAAAACAGCACCCTCGTTACGGGCTCAGAACCCTCAGGACCCGCTTTTTGGTCAGGCCTCCCCTTTTTGGGTCAGAACCTCCCTTTTAGGGTCAAAATCCTTTTTTGGGGCGGTCAGGACCCTCCCCCTCCAGCCCCGCCCCTTCCCCCTCACATAAGGGGGCGTGGTTTTCACGCTAGGGGCGTGGCCTGATTGCATGGGCGTATCCTGCATACGAAAAACCCAAGCGCTCTTCCCTTTATGGGCGTGGTCACGCCCACATGCTGGACCCAATACCCGTCCCTCACCTCAAATCAAGGGCGTGGCCTCACAGCGAGAGGCGTGGTCTCGCTTGTGGGCGTGTCTCACATAGTAATGAGTATTAGCCTCACCCATTGTGGGCGTGGCCACTTCAGACCACGCCCCCCGAGCGGCGCTGCCGGTAAGGGAAGGGGGAGGGGAGGGCAGGGGGCGGCCCCGGGGGGGTCCCCAAAGCTCGGGGGGGGCTCTGGGGGTCCCCAAAAAGTCCCCAAACCCCCCCAGGACCCCCCAAATCACGAGGGCCCCCCCCAAAATCCCGGGGAACCCCAAAACGTCCCGGTCCCGCCCCCGTAACCTTTGCCCCCCCCGCCCCCCCTGCTCCCCTAAAATTTGGGGTCGCCCGGAACTTTTGGGTCCCCTCGGCCCTTTTGGGGACCCCCCATAAACTTTGGGGTCCCCTCCTGGTTTTCAGGGTCCCTTTTGGGGTCCTCTCAACTCTTGGGGTCCCCCCGGAACCCTCAAATGTTTCTGCCCCCCCCTTTTTGGGCTCACCCGGAACTTTTGGGGTCCCCCTGTCCCCATTTTTGGGATCCCCCATAACCTTTGGGGTCCCGGGAGGATTTTGGGGTCCCGGGGGAGTTTTTGGAGTCCTGGGAGGTTTTTTGGGGTCCTGGGTGGGATTTTGGGGTCCCAGGTTTTGGGGGGTCCGGGAGTTTTTTGGGGGGTCCCGAAGCTTTTTAAGGGTCCCGGATTTTTTGGGATCCCGGGAGTTTTTTTGGGGTCCCGGATTTTTTTGGGGATCCCGAGAGTTTTTTTGGGGTCCTGAGTGGGATTTTTGGGGGTCCCAGATTTTGTGGGGTCCGGGCGTTTTTTGGGGTCTGGGTTTTTTTTGGCATCCCGAAGCTTTTTAAGTATCTCGGATCTTTTGGGGTCCGGAGTTTTTTTGGGAGGTCCTGGATTTTTTTTTGGTACCCCGGGGAGGTTTTTTGTGGATCCCGAGCGGGATTTTTGGGGGGTCCCAGATTTTCTGGGGTCCGGCTTTTTTTTGGTATCCCGTTTTTTTGGGGGGCGATCCCGTTTTTTGGAGGGAATCCCGGGTG